AAATAAAATTTATATATACAGCGAATACAAACTTATTTGTTTTGATGAAGGTAGGGGGGTTCATGGGATTTTTAGCAGGACTGTAGTAATATTCTCACTAAATAGCTAAGCGAGTGCGTAGACGAATGTAAGGCGCCATACAGGGTGCTTTTGAGTTACTAGTGTTCCATTAGTGAGGGTAGGGACATTGCTTGCTTACCATATAGCATTTGAATAAGGAGCTATAAGATTAGACGCAGGTACGGTTAGGATGTGTAACGCGTGTCCATCCATCAGCTGCCGTGACAACTCATGGTGGTTAGAATAAGTTATGAGAGGACCCGAGTCTGTAGGTTTCCTAAGAAAAGGACGAAGATATGTACTAAATCACTTAAATTTACTACATATGAACTAGATGCTGAGAGGCTAGTGTATCACAAGTTTCTTGCAACGATTAAGTAGATAAAACGAAATAGCATTAGATTCAAAAATTTCAGGAACTTTCATTAAAAATCGAATATCAAACAAAGGTTTAAACCAAGTTCCCGTTTAAAAGTTTTATTGGTAATGTTAAGCTGCAGTTTTTGTTGTTTTTTTCCAAACGAAAGAGTAAAAGAAGTCAAAAATACTGGAAGTGGTTGTGAGACTAAACTGGACGTCCAGCATCCTTTTTATAATCTGTTGTTCGTTGGGTCCCCCGTAAACAGTTCCATAGGGCCATAATTCTAAGGGCGAAACAGTTTTTAGTATCTGTGAATGCTCATTCCTGTTGCATTCTAAATGAGAAAATAGTGATGAATTTAGTCAGAAATGTGGAATAGATAAATAACCAAATTACATGTTTTTAGCAAAGGATTTATGCAGTTGTGATTTACCTTGAGTTCATGAATATTAGATCAGGTCAGCTACTATTATTTGTGCAAAGCATAACAGGACTTGGTACCGTATCGCAATGCTTTTATTATTTTGCTCTCATTTAAGTATTCCCATGCATCTGCGTCTAATTTAACAGGAAGACATACAAATAGAGTTAGTGGCTGATAAACTAAAAGTCCCAGTTGTCAAAAAGATTGTTAACATTTGTCCACAGCCAGCTGCATTTAATTGAGACACAGAACACTCATCTTCTAAGACTGTATACTGCTCTTCTGCAGGCAAATAAAAGCTCAGACATTTAGCTATCCTGTTACCAATATATATTGCTTTCAGACTGAAGACAACAGGCAGTAACATCATGCACTGATGGTCTATCTGGTAACAATAAACTATGTGATTAAACTAACTATGACTTGAGATATCATTCCAGAGTGCAATCAATGTACAGTGTAACGCAGTCAGACGTGGCGAATAAAAATTAAAAACAGAGCAAAAATAACCTAATCTAGTTGTTTAATTAAAAACACATTGTGAAATGACAAAATCTGTGGTTACTTGAACGCACAGATGATCGTTATTACACTGGGCGATATATTACGTTTACATGGTTGCGTTGGATAAATTCACCCTATCCAAATAGACCACATGACGAGGGGATCATGCACAAAGGCCAGTTGGAGCTGACCATTCCACTTGTGGACTGTATTGATCATAAAAACACATGGAAGAGACAGGAACTACTAACTTGGAAAACCTTCTATAGGTAGGCTACCTGTCCATTAGCATAAGGCTTATTCAGACAAACAAGAAGGAGAAGCTCACGCGTTTCAAATCGAAAGCATAAACTGCTTATACATGAATGCCGCGAGTTTGCCGAATAAAACCGATGGGTTCAGTGAACTCATTAATTCTAATAATGCTTAACTGATATGAATATCTGAAACTTGGATATCTTCTCAGTTCTCAGGCCAGGAGCTAGTAGTACCTGGGATGCCCTTGTTTCGCGACGACAAAAAATCAGGAGGTGGGGGTGGAGTAGCTGTTTACATACCATCTTGCTTGGAGATACACCAAGTTCATAACCTCGAGTTTAACAATCTTGAGGAATCCATATGGTGCTCTGTAAGATTGTCTATTACTTCGAGGTGTCTAGTCGGAGTCATATATAGGAATCCCATTGCCGACATCGAATATGACAGTCGTATGCTGGAAGGACTATTCTGCTCTACTCGTCTCGGTTTCACTCATATCCTGATTCCAGGAGACTTCAATCTCCCTAGAGTCAACTTCGCGGAACATATGTGTAGTGGAGGTGAAAACTAAACTGAAGTTCGGTTCTTCAACCTCATCGATGACTTGTGATTATACGAAAGTGTGAGGTCGGCAATTCGTTGAAGAAACAGTCAGACACCATCGCGCTTAGACTGTGGATTTACAAACGAAGAATTCTTAGTTGGCAACCTCTCAATCCTGGCTCCCTTGGGAAAAAGCGATCACGCCGTTGTAGCCTTCATTTTTGTCAGCAAAACTGAGCTAAGATACCCCACCAAAAACTTGCGCTGGAATTTCAAACGGTTGAATGTGTCAGCTCTGCAGGACTATCTACAACAGGTGGATTGGTATGTTCACCCTCAAATCGATGTGAATGCTCAATGGGACTCCTTACTGCACACGCTCATATGTGCTACAAAGAGTTCCGTTCTTTAAATGGTCCCCAAAATCTACAAGCAACATACAATTATCAAGAACCGCACTCTTCGTTTGTTAAGTCGCGAAAGGCACTGTTGGGCAGAATACAAACGAACTGATAACAACGGCGCATACAGGCAATACAAACATAAAAGGAACATATGCACGAAGGCTATAAGAGAGGATAGGCTACAGTACCAGATAAAGCTTATTGATAAATTTGTTTTTAATCCGAAAAGCTTATTCCGTTATGCAGTCTCTCTTCGTCAAGCCAAAACTTGAGTTTCCCAACTGCTAGGTCCTAATGGCCTGAACAATAACGACAGCGACGCCACTAACCTTTTGGCTGAACCATACTCTCGGACACTACAACCGACCCACATCAACTATACTGATGACAGCTTCATCTGCAACTGCACAGGACTCTCCGTAGTGAACCTGAGTGCTTACTTGGTGTTCCGGAAACTGCACCACCTAACAAAAGACATTTCTCCTGGCCATTCTGCTATACTGAAGGAAGCAGCTTCAATCCTGGCAACGCCGCTTAGCGTGATGTTCTCACACTCGTTAGGCCGAGGCAAACTACCGGAAAATTGGAAACTGGCTCACATCACACGGATTTTCAAAGGAGGTCGATGCAGCGAACCTCCAAGTGACCGACTGGTGGCTCTTCTCTCAATACCTTCAAAAATCATGGAGTCCCTGGAATGCGATGGTTTGTTTGACTAGTTACTGTCCTCAAATTTCTTCTCACCCCGACAGCATGGTTTCAGGAAGCGTTACTCTTGTACAATCAACCTGCTGATTGTGGTGGACAGATGGATAGGCATCCTTGATCACAAGGGGAAGGTTGATATCATCTACCTAGATTTCTCAAAAGCTTTTGATAAGGTTAACCATACATGTCCTATCAATAAGCTCAAACGATTGGTTATCAGACCACCTTTAATCGATTGGCTCACTTCATACCTGAAAAATCGACATTTTAAGGTCAGGGTTAACTTCACTTTATCTCAGGCTGCGGAATGTCCTAGTAGGGTCCCTCAGGGCTCAGTACTAGGACCTTTTCCCTTCTTCATCTACAGAAATGATCTTCCTCAACAGGTAACGTCAGACTTATTACTTTTTGCCGATGACGTGAAACTTTGGTGAGAGATACGCAACCAAGACGGTATACATGCACTTCAGGTGGATCTGACTGGACTTCAAAGTTGGGCAGACGATGACGGACTTACCTTTAACACTTCAAAGTGTAGAGTGGTCCATCTGAGACATGTCGCAGACTACAGTTACAACTTAGGAAATTCTTCTCTAGTAGTATATCGAGTCGAAAGAGATTTAGGAGTCCTGATGCCCTACGATTTAAAGTCTTACGCTAACTGTGACAAAAATGCCTCCCGAGCCAATCTTGCACTGGCAACAGTGAAGCGCATGTTTGGTTAGTTTGACGGAAGGACTTTCCATATAATCTTCAATAGTTTTATCCATCCCCATTTAGAGTACGGAAACACAGTATTTCCTCCGTCTATCCACAAGGATAAGGACACTCTGGAGCGTATTCAACGGCGAGTCACGAAATCGGTTCGAGGACTCAAGTTTGAACCTTATGAACAGCGCCTTCAGTTACTTAATCTTTATCTGTCAGAGTACAGGCGTCTTAGAGGTGACCTTCTAATGACTTACAGTATTATTAACACTTCTGGACATTTCCTTTAACACCTACCTAAGCTTAGTTCCAACACTAACTTAAGGAGTAACGCCCAGAAATTGGAAATACAACATAGCAGAACGGACTGTATACACAACTTCTATCCCTTAAGAGTTGTCAAACGCTGAGCTAGTCCAAGCGACTTCCCAGGAGTCCTTTAACAGGTGATGATGTCACAGGTATTCAGTGTTTGACAACGCTTCTACCAGTAACACCTTCTAATGTATTTCGTTCCCACCCAGAGAAATCAAGAGACAGAGTCGAGGAGATCGGAAGAGTATATTTGGCGATGACCAATATATCGGAATTCTCTGATCTAATCTGGCTAGCGATTATGGTTGATGTTGAGCACGGCGTTACCACACATGATCTGGTGCGGGTGCATGACCGAGCGCCTTCAGCTAGATGAGTCCACTAAAACATATGGTCAGCATCCAATGTCGAAAACTTATAGAGCTATTTAGTTTGGGGATTTATTTACCGCTACACAGGCAACTTGATCTATTCTTAAGGACTAAGGATAGTATCATACTATGATTTACCAAGTTCTTTCCACCCTTTTTGTTAACATACCTAGGTTCCTGCCTGGAGGTTTTGGTGATCCCCTGCTACTAGACACAGAAGCCCGTTGAGCGAAAGCTTCTTTCGTTTCGTCCATAACCATTTGAACCACTTTGAATCAACGAAGCAACTATGACTTAAAATTTATAACTTTCTCTTACTATATAAAAAATTCAACTGAGCATTGCAAGAAAACACCCATTTTGATGTCACGGACCTAGTCTCATGTAGAATTTCTTCTTGCTATTTCTGTAATACAACGTCTTATGTATTTGACCTTGGGTTTGCGGACTATTCGTCTGAATTTCGAACTGGGCGGGTTATGAATTTCTTGAGTATTCCTTTAAAGAAGTCGGCTCCTGTTGATTTATCCAGTAATTTTCAACAGTTGATCGCCCTGCAATATGGTGCTCCAACCGCAAATGCGTGCCTTGGTTCACTCGGTGAGTTATCGTCAATGCGAACTGTCGCATGTGTCAAAGGCGATAACTACAACCCGACAGTCGAAGCAATCGCAGCGTAAGTTGAATGGTACTTATAACTCTATTTGATATTACAGTTTTAATTCATACTGTTTTATCGTATAAAATAGGTCTTTTGAACGATCTTTAGTGTTTAATCTCCATCATACCGTTCGCTATTTTCTTGTGGTTACATAGGCACTAATTTTCTATCTCAGCTTCCAGAGGTCAGCATGTTTCTCCCCCAACTGCCTATCGGTTTTCTATGGATATTTCGTAATGCCTTTTAAAGTTTAACTTTGACTACTGGTCTTTGAGATTTCATGTTTATTACATTATAATACTTGGCATCTTTCTAGTGTGACTGATATAATCAGTAGGTAGATGTGAAATCCTAAACTTTTTCTTATTGTCCGGGGATATTTGGTTAGGGATTCGAAAACTTAAGGTTCATGATCCCATTAGTAAGACGCTTTTTGTCATTTTTGGGGTTGAAAGTTCTTATATAGATTGCTCTTATTCAAAGGAAGCAGAATACTATAGTAACAGTTGTCCTCATAAAGTTCATTATATGTGTTTAAAAACCTAACGAAAAACAATCCAACTGATCATTTAGTTGTGTTCTTCACCTAGATGTGTTCATTTTCGCTAATCAGAGTAATCTGGTCAACATGTACCATGTAGAACTACTTTTGTCACTGCTTTGTGTCCAGCAAACCATTCGGAAAAGGCATGTAGTGATGTGTTGTAGGTGAATTACATTTTCCAAATATGATCTAAATCCGTACTCGTACACATCGCAAATGTGTATTTGTCAATGTTACCACATTATTATAGCGGAAATAAATTGTGTAAAAAGAACAGGGACCAGAAATTAGTAATTAAATCTTGTTGTTTGGGGTACTTCGACTGATTGGTTGATTTTACAAATTCACGGACATACAATCTAGCGAAATACTTACCTAGTATACCTAAACCGTATGACGAGGTGATCAGTGATGGGATACTCGTAAGCTACTATTATTTGACCACAGATGCCTTAGAAATATTTATCCCATCTGCTGGGAGTGAGGTTAGACACAGGCTGTTACGGAATATTAGTGAATCACTTGATGGGGTTGTGAATCTCCATCGACTGAGATGTTTGGGCTACGTGTTATGTACACCGACTACCACGATGCTCAATGCTGACTAGTGTTGGGGATGGTTGGAAGAAAGCTAGGGGCGGCCAAACCAAAACTTGACATCGGTTCGTGAAGTCACTAACTTTTAGTCTTAGTCATGTTGGTAGATGCAGACTACTTGGTTGGGGTCCGCGTGACTATCGTAGCCAATTGGTTGGAGACTTGGTGACATGGCTCAGAATCGATCACAATGGTGTAGGTGTGTACACTATTTGTCTACCCCTAAACCGTGAGATTAGAATCGTTTCATATCTTTTTTTCTACATACTAGACCTTTCTTCCTGTACTATATCCAAATATGCAATTTTTCGTTTATATATTACCACCATTGAATTAAGTACTTCTATGAACCCCGTGTTTTGACGTATCTTCCTTATTTATTAATGTACCTACCAATGGAGCATTAGATGTTATGTGTGACTGTCTAGAATCCGACTCAGATTTGAACTTACGATGCCCATTAGATATATCCGAAGTTACTAAGTGCTTGAAATTATGTTTACGATCTACCTTATTCACATTTTGGGGAGACCTTTACAGACAGAAAGAAGGTATAACAATGTGTTCACCAGTTTTTCCGATTGTAGTGAATTTATTCATGCATTCTCTAGAAACCAGTGCAATCACAAGATGTTTATGTCCACCAAAAGCCTGGCTATGGTATGTAGATGGCATTTTTATTATCATTAAACGGAATGGTTCGGAAGGTTTGTTTGAAAATATAAACACCATTACGGAGAGCAGTAATTTAACAAAGGAAATAAAATGCAGTGACCACAAACTACCGTTTCGATTGTTTGGTTGAACGAAAAAACAATAATAATAAGTTGAAAATGTATTCAGGAAATCAACACATTCTGAAAGATACTTAGATTTTGGTTCGGCTCATGCGTTTTGTACGGAAGTCACAGTTGTAAAAAATTTAATTAACAGAAGTATTAACCTCGTTACGGATAAGGAAGACCAACAGGTTGAATTGAATAGAGTTTCGCCTGTGTTTAGGGATAACAATTACCCCGAAGAGATTTTAAAGATTATTAGGAATGAAAGAAAAAGTAAATTGGAGTGTACTGAAAGGATAGAAGACCACCATGGTCATCCCTTACCGTAGGGAAACATTGAAAGAAATCAAGAGGATTCTAAATAAACTTAATATCGGAGTGTATTTTCGGGCTAGTGACGCCATAAGATCAACATTAGTGAAAGTTAAGGATAGGTTTTCAAAGGAAGAACAACAGAATGTCGTCTACGAGATGAATTCTCATGATTGTAATACAGCTTATGTTGGAGAAACTTCCGGACAATTGAGTGTGAGGTTAAAAGTACACAAAAAATGTTTGAAAAATGTTCCCAAATTCTCGGTTGATCTAAAGAAATTTGAGAAAATGTTGGTGATCGTGTTACTTGCGTTGGACACGGGGCATACGATTATTTTTGAAGGGACCAAAATGCTTCAGAAAGGTTTTAACACTCACAAATAAAAATTGACAGCAGAAGCGCTGTATATATGGGCGAATATGAATAGCCTGAACCGAGAGAATAGTATTCAACTAGCAACTACGTCGCAAATATTCGTTAACAAGTATTTGGACCCATTCTTTATCCAACCTGTTTATTTCACATACGTCGTTATTCTGACTGAAATTAATGTTGGTTATTTTAACAATACAAATGTGTATTTGATGATTCTCTTGTTACATGCACATCAATGATGCAGTAACAATTTTTCAACCTTCAACTTGCACTTTTATTTTTTCCTTCATACAAAAACACATTAACACCTAGTATCAGCTATTAATATCTCAATCTTACACATACATACGCATACACAATTCGTTCAGTCATTTATTTTCAGATCGTGAACTTTTTACATGATTCGCATTTAACTGACTCATGTTATTCTATTTACAAAAGTCAACATCCGAATATGATTGGGTTAACACAGTATAGATTTAATCTGATTTGATTGTTGAAGCGCTATATATTTTTTTGATGATTTTGATTATTACTCTGAAGAAGTCCAGACAAGTTTGCTGGGTGAAACGTTGGAATTATTTAAATTTCAATCGCTTAGATAATTTCAAATATAATTTTCACCTACAGTGACTTCTCTGTACTCGGCGCCCAATTTTTGTCGAACTATTCGTTCTAATATTGACGAATATTCGTATAAACTTCAATTTGTTTGCGTCTATTTATCCTATAGTAACGCTGATGTTAACTATTTCACTTAGTTTCTGGAATTATTTTTGTAGGTATCATGATGCAATGTATCAATTAGAAGGACGTCTAAATGTGAATGTTGCTTCACGAGTTGATTTTAAGTGGAGCGATATTTCTGGAAAATCTAACAAAAGTAAGTTCTTACTTGATGTTAATTTTTTTTTCATAGAAGAAAGCTCTCTTAAATTTGAACGTTCAAATGTCTTGTTTTGCTATGGTGCTGCTCACAGTCAACTTGGTGAATCGTGCCGTCCCAATTGTGAAAATTCACTCCAACAAGCTTTGAAATCTTTCAAGGTATCAACAATATAATTTTTTAAATGTGGATGCAATGTATAACTTATATATATATATGTACGATAACGTGTCTAGCCACGGAATTTCACAATCTCTGGGACCCAAAATTTTTAGTTGCTTTGGATTAACAGATATCATTAATAAACTGGCCACCTCGGCCTTTTCCACTCAGTCCCGCAATTAGCAAACAATGCGCATTATGAAAACAGCTGCGATGATGTCCGTAAAATACGATCAGACCACTAAAGTTGACGTTTTAAAGTGGTGAAACCAATGGAATTACCGTCATTACTCCTGAACGCATTCTGATGAATTTATCCTTTATTAACATGGTGTTGCCGCCTGATGCGAACAATCTTTCAAAGGCGCTGATGACCCAACCCAAAGCGTTACCGGACGTCATCAGAACTACCCTGACTAATTGGTTATAAACCAGACATTCCTCAACCTTACATTATGCTGGCGCCAAAGATGACTCAGATTGGTATAAACTACTCTGACTTTCTCTGTAAGCAGATTTATCGTATCTGTCACATCACCCACTAGACTCACAATTACTAAAGATACGAACTTTCCAACTTTATTACGGTTCATTACATTGAGTGAGTCCAGACACAGGTCCTTGGCAATCTTTCGGGAGTATTTCACACTTTGAAGTCGTGAGGTACATACTGTGCCTGAGGATATTATTTATTTGTGATTTGGATAACCTGTGTATCATCACACGGTAAGGTAATGTCATCTGCCTAACAGTTCGAAGTGTATCTGCGGAAAACATATCTACTCAACCACCATATATTTTCTTCAGAGGTGCTTCTAGAATGCCATTGGTGTCAAAATGGTGTAGGAATAGCAGGTCGAACAACTCTTCCTAACCACACATGGTTCAAAACACTGATGAGTAATGAGGATAGAACCGTCCTATCGATGTTGCTGTGGTCATTGTCCAGGTAAGCCGTTTTCCAAAATGCCTTATTTGATTACCAGGACGTCTTTAGAGACTCTCGACCGAAATATCGCCAAATTAACCGACTGTTTCGTTGGTACCAAACTACTTGGTGACATTGACTGGGACAAGTTGAAACGGCCCCTGAAATTTTCCAGATGTTACTTCCAGCTGGTCAGGATTATACAAACACCAGGTTTCTTAGTCCGCACGCGAGTTTTGTGAAATCTCTTGAGTTAGGGACTTACTTTTACTTTTGGATTCTTGATTCGACACACATTCGAGAAGTTTTAGGAAACATTCAAGAACCTATGTTTTATAAGGGGGACGTTTTGCGAAACATCAAGTGGCTTTTTTACAATTTCCATGGCGCTATCCAAATGCAGCCAGTGCTCATCTGTACTTTACGGTGTGGCCGATTAGCTTTTATCAGTTTGTATGGGATCATAAATTTGTTGACCACTGCAGTGTGAGATAAGTTTAGAGCATACCTGATTATAATTAAGATAGGTACTCCAAAAAGAGTAGTCGACTTCAATGTGGTTAATCTGAGTCAAGGTTTGTGCTGTGGATGGGTGCACAATAGCACATCGGTAATGGTTGCGGTTGTCACTTGCTACAGAAGACGGTCACAGTAACCATCGCATCCCAATTAGCTATCGAAGCAACACCTTTGTGCCTAAACTTCCGGCCTGTTAATTTAAATCTTCAACTAGCACCAGGACGTCCATTTTAATACGATGTATTAAAAAGATCATTTGGCTGTTAGTAGAACTCGTCCTTGATTGGATCCGAACTGTAACCCGTCGGTGGAGATCACTAGGCGACTTCTTTTTCCACCCATGTTTTCTTTTAGTGTATCCTTGCAGTTAAAGACCATATCAGTGGTTGGTAATAACGGATCTAACTACTTATTGTTATGTCCACTCTGGCGTTTAGTGCTAGATGGGGTATCGAAACTGGACATTAACCTCACAAAGTCCTCAGACAATCGCACATGGAACAACAGTTTCGAATCTACAGATGGAGGGAGAGTTTGTAATGCCCTGATACGGCCAAGGGTGGGGAGAGTCAGCTCTCCCTCTCGAAACGCTCTCACATGGCCACGCGTATACGGCCACTGCCAGGGAAGTCCTACTTACTGTCTTCTTGAGGTGGTGTTGCTTACGAAATTGAGAGGACAAAAAGAGAATGTTCGGCGCTTTAACCGGGTCGGTGGACAGGGAGACTCCACCTAGGAGAGTTGGAAAACTCGGATTCCAAACTAAAAGTGCACATGGGCTCCAGGATCCTAAAGGAACGAATGGTGCATGAACCAATTGTTGGTGATCGGTTACCATGGGACTGCATCTCCTGATGTTGATCCACTGCCTTGTGGATCAGACCTGTAGGTCGAAGGCTTCGAGTGTGGCACCTTAAGAAAACCACCTGCTTCGGTCTGGGTGCTCGGGCAGTACAACAGCCCACAATCAAATCAAATGAAATGACAGTAAATACTGGAAATACAAGGAACTCCAACTTTTGAAGCTCCACAAATCACCGGGTCCATGTGACTTACCTACGGTACTTTTAAAAGATGGTGGTGACTTTCTGGTCAAGGAACTGTCTGAGTTAGTTACAATGCTCTGACAATTAGACAGTGCTTCAACATCATGGAATTAGTCGATAGTTGTCCTTATCTTTAAAAAGGGTTCTGTAACAACTATCGAGGGATAAGTACACTTCCAACTGAGTCCAAACTATTGGCTTTAGTCATAGTTCGTAGATTGTTCAAAACCCGAGAAAGATTGACTCGCGTGGAGCAGGCTGGTTTTCGTTCTGGTCGAGGATGTATCGATCATATCTTCACCCTCCACCGAATGTTAGAACACCGTCATACTTATCATAGGCCAACAATCATATGGATCTGTTTCCTGGAGAAAGACTTCTCGACCTTGAGTATGCGGATGATATTGTGTTACTGTGCGATAATACCCAAGCCATGCAATCCGCACTTAATCAATTGGCAATTAGTGTCCGTAGATACGGTATGTGGTTCTCACATTCGAAGTGCAAAGTACTTTTACAAGAGCAAGAACAAACATTGATGCAGAATAGTATGAATTCATAATATTTCGAGGTTTCTCGTCAGCTGCTTACAACCAAAAATGTGATAGAATTTTTAACGTTGAGATAATGTTAAACAATTGACACAAATGATTGTAAATAACTGGATTACAATAATAACTATATATATATATATATATATATATATATATATATATATATATATATTTATATATATATATATATGCTAGTACAGGTCAGAGGTTAAAAAAAGGAATTAATTTAGGGTGGGTGGTGTAATAGTTTAGTGAAGTTCATAAATTGTGTGATTAATGGAATTGAATGATCATAAGATAGGTTATGTAATAATCATTAAATATAATTTGAAAAGTTAAGATAATTTAAGAGGATCAGGGGATGGAAATATGTGAATAAAATTTTTTGGTTTAAGAATTAGGTAATAGGGGAGGAGTATAAATATTTTAAAATAAATCAATCAATAAAATAACCCAAATAACCAAAACACGCACACACAAAAGGGTTACCAGGGTAATGATAAGTTTATTGAAGTATCTTTTTGAATGCATAAGTCCGGTTTAAGTTTTTTGATCGCAATGGTTTCATCAAAACTGAGAGTGGTCAATAAAGCACCCAAAGATATAGAATTTACTATGGAACATGAAGTTGATGATAAATTCCATTTCCTAGATATTGGAATCAGACGAAAACCAGATGGTACATTACAAAGACACATCCATCGTAAAAATACCTGGAGTGGAGTTTATCTCAATTATATCAGCTTCTGTCCTATGAGTTATAAAAAGGGTGTGGTACGAAACCTTTTTGACTGCGCACGCAAAATCTGCTCAAAGTATTGCCTTGAAGAAGAAATTGCCTGCGTGAAAATGCATATCCGGAGAAATTCATCCACAAACATGCTAATACCAACCCTCCAATTAAGCATGTTACAGTGGAAAAGAAAACCTGTTTCCTATACTTGCGCTTCAAAGGAGATGAAGTCACCGGAATTATCAATCACAGAATAAATTCCGCTTTGAAAGTGGCCTACCCGGCAGCCAAACTGACGACGTTCTTGGTAACGAACTGCTCACTGAAACAAACCCAATCTCACCATTCCTCTTCAACTTTGCCATCGACGACATTCTGGAAACAGCCCTGATGAATGTAAGTAATGGCGGTGTGGATCTGTTGCCTGGAGAAGGACTTCTCGACCTTGAGTATGCGGATTATATTGTCTTACTGTGCGACAATGCCCAAAGCATGCAGTCCGCACTTAATCAGTTGGCAATCAGTGTCCGTTGGTATGGTATGTGCTTTGCACCTTCGAAGTGCAAAGTACTTCTCAAAGACTGGCAGGATTCTAATCCTGTACTCACCCTGGATAGTGAGCAGATAGAAGTAGTCGAGTTCGTGTATCTAGGTAGCTGCATAAGTGCTGGTGGTGGCATGAGTGATGAGATCAATCCTCGTATAATGAAAGCCAGAGCGGTTTATGCCAATCTGGGTTATCTTTGGCGCCTTCGTGATGTTAGTCTGGCTGTAAAAGGTCGGATCTACAACGCGTCGGTGAGAGCAGTCTTGCTCTATGCTTGTGAAACCTGGCCTCTCCGAGTTGAGGATGTTAGACGAATCTCTGTGTTCGATCATCACTGTCTCCGAAGGATTGCTGACATCAAGTGGCAACACCATATTAGTAATGCAGAGGTTCAACATCCTGTGTTCGGAACAGATACTGTTATGTCCGAGCGAAGATTAAATCACAAGTAACTTCTGAGACATATTAAATGACTAATATTATCTATACATTCTTATGTTATAACTATTCAATAATTAGATTATGTATATTTATATTCCTCTTATAATACGCTTTATTTTGACGTATAATTTATTGTACGATTTACTGTTCTGAAGCTATGTTTAGTTTATTGACTACTGTCTCCTACGTTCACAGCCACTTTTTGGCTTTATTCTGTACAAATGTTATTTCCTATTTTATGGTGCGTTGAGGTCTGTTTGGTTGATATGTAAAGACAGTATGTCTGAAATAAATGATTCGATTCGATTCGCATAGTGGAAGCTGGTATTGGTGTTCTGGACTCAAGTGAACGGGCTAGGCGGACATAGGACTAATAAGGACGCTAGGCTGCTCATACCGGTCGAACTTCATTTTTGTTTGGCACAGTGCTAAGATTGTATAAGTCGTGTTTTGATTGGTGGATAGGTCACTTGATAAAAAGCCGGACATAAAGTCACAACATATACGATAATTCAATTGATGTCACTATCTTGAAACATCGACTTCGGTGACTTAGACATGTTCTACGAATGTCGTCCCAGAGAGTTCCAAGTCGTGCATTGCTTACCGACGCTGGGACTGGTTGCAAAAAGCAGCGAGGTGGTCAGTGTATGATATTGTGTTGAGGTATGAAAGAATGCTGAAAATGACTGGCTTCTGTTGGTCCTTCACGACTTCTTAATTGAAGTCCTAGAGATGCTGCAGCACAGTGGTTTGAAACACTATCAGACATGGCTGAGAATAGAAACCAGTGGCGATCCTGTGGTAACTTGTTTTACTTCCTTCATAAAAGTGAGCGTAACTTCTTTAACTGAAAGGAATCTTTCTGGTTGTATTTTTACTAACTGAACTGTTTCCGCCACTATTATTATTTCACCCTCATACACTAATTTCTGTTTGTTGTTGTTATTCTCTATATCATACACACTTTATATTCTGTATCTCCTCACACTCGTGGTTATTGTGTGGCACATATATATTTGGTGCCCCCTTGTACCAATATTTATGTGGTCAAATAAAGAAATAATTGTAATACTTCACTCGATTTTTGAAAAAGGTTCTCAGATTGCATATAATTTGTGGATTTTAATGCAAATGTGAAAGACGGAAAGTTCGATTAACAGGATTCAATGCTCATTAACGATAAGAGCACTTCGTGGTAAATCTTTTTACATGTTAATATGACATGGAGATAATTACGAAAACTTCCGTTTCATCACCATGTTTCACGTCTTTTTTAATTTCCTTTACAGATTGCTTCTTGCACATTTGATTACATATCTTCAGATTTGATGTCTGGGGTTAAAGATCCTCTACCAGATTTAACTTCATCAGCACTAACACTGTTCAGTAATCTTATGCTTGCTCAAGCATATGAATGTGTCCTCTCGAAAGCTGAAAAAGGTAATGATACAGTATCATAATATGATATTTCTCCCTTAGATAAGAAAAAGCCTGCCATTTTAGCAAGAATAGCATCAACCTTGACTAGTCTTTACGAAGACTGCCTGTCAGATTGTTCAGGTGGAGCTAAAAATGTTGTTCCAAAAGTAGTGTAATTTTCTTATCATTCTTATCTTAGGATTGGTCTGGTGTATTAAGCATGAAAAAAGGTTTATATGAAGCTCTGACACAATATCATCAATCTAAAGCTTGTTGCGAAGCCAAACAGTACGGGGAACAAGTAGCTCGCATATCAGTAAGCTGCATTGCTTTTTCCAACGTTTCAATTATCTTTTTCAATTAAAAAATTAGAAAAAGCTACAGTGCATTTAAACTAACTTCTTTCTTGCTCAGATCGCCTTATTATAGTGATATAAGACGTAGCTAAATGTATCTAATATATTCTTATTGTAGAATTACTAGTTTGTTAGTTTTATAGACAGTAATGATAAGGTTGAGTTGTAAATAATTTGACAGTGTTAGAGGTGTTTTTTTACCAAGGTCATCATAATGTATTCTGATCATATTCATTGAATGCCTGACTTGGGCTAAGATTTAATAAAGAGTAAAGTTAGTGCAAGTCACTCAATTATTCTTTGAAGCTAGTAATTGTTTCTCTTAGCCGTTAAGGGGATATGAAGGAAATATTGAGAATAGTTTGAAATCTATAATCAGATAGTATACAATCTATTTTGTGCTGTCTACTCTTGCAAACGTTTTCCCGGCCTTTCTATTTTATTGTGTTGCTAAGAATACGTTCATAATGCTCAACCACCAAATACGACACATTCTGAAGGAAATTATTCTTAAAATTTGCATGCTGATTTAAGATGATTTTTGCTCTATTGATTAATTCAGTGTTTTTCATTCATTGACTCTCAGTAAATTTCCAATTTTATTAGTTCTTTTAGAATGCAGTTAGTTTGATTCCCAATGCATTCTCATCTTGCTGATTAATTCACTGTAATTTTGAGATCGGTGAAAATCGCTGTCACTACTGATCATTTAGTTACTCAATACTTAATAGAATGAATTTGTATGTAATTCGATTCTCCCGGGGTCTCTGCCAAGAAAAGCTTCTATACAATCCTAAACTTGTCAATATAGTTAGCGGGCAGGAGAGATAGCTTATTTTATTGAATCCAGAGTTAAGGAAAATCCTTTTAGTCTACAAACATATCAGAATAGCAGCAATTTTAAACTTAGTCCACTTTAACTTTTTAGGCAGTACTTTTTTCCATTAGATAAGGACAATAACTGTACCTGATCTATGTGAATTTACCATATTTTGTGAACTCTCTTCTAATTCATAAAACCTGATTCATATTGATATAGAACGTTCGTAATAGTGCATAATTAAAAGTGGGTACTACAAATAAAGAGATCGTTATCTCATTCTCAGGTGACTGACTTTTTAGTATCTTTAAAAAGTATTTCTTATGAGTGATCTGTTTTTAGGATATTATATCTAAAGTGTCGGGTCAACGATATAAAGGCTTGCTTTTCATCCATTAAATCATAAATTGGTGCAACGAAAATATTGTCATATCGTTGAAGGATTTCTTTAGAAGAGCAGTATGGCTTTAAAGCTATTCTTTGACTATTCTTCATTACATGTCATCATTTGTCATTTTCCCTGATAACATTTCGTTTTGGTATGCAGAGAAGGCTCTCAGTATTATTTTTAGTATAGGATTGTGAAGACTATTGAGACCATAAAAGAAATCTAAGTTAGACCACTGTTCAGAACCTGGGAACACTAAACAGCCGTTTCGTTCTGGCATGAGACTTTGTATTAGCGTACACCCACAACCTCACCTCCATGAATCTAGCCCAGAATCTTCGGTCTCGTGCGCGAACGCCTAACCTCTAGATCACTGGGCGGGCATCCAGTGGTATGCAAGTCTAACTTCAATTAATTCAAAGTATTGCTCCATCATACTAATAATTATTATTTTCCCACTTATAACGGGCTTCGAAAGAAAATGCCCGGAGTTTAAGTGAAAAGCCATAGTGGGGTTCAACTGTATCAGGGTTAACTACCAAGCACAATGGAAGGTGGTCGCTTAGTATCGTGGAGTGATTTTAGCTAGACATGTACATCGTTGAATCCCAACTCAGTGGTCTAAAGGTTAGGTGTTCGTGCGCGAGACCGAAGGTCTCAGGTTTGGCTCCCAATTTTGTTGTCGTGTATCCTAACTTCTGGAAAGCCCCATACTAAAACAAAATGACCATCTAATACTTTCAGGTTTCCAATCGTTGTTTAACTTGAATCGGTTCCTGTTCTCAGTAATGTTTGATTTTGTTGAAAATTCTACCAGCAATTTTCCTGTTATAGTAACCATGGCTTCGCCACCATAATCTTCCTGTTCCGGTTTCTCCATATACGTGAATCATCTCAGAGATTGTTAATAAGATAGCATATTCTGTCTGCTGGAAAGCATATAACTGATAATAGTGTGTCAAATTATTGTAATCACTTTTTGTTCGAGAATAATTCGAATTTTATAAGAGCTTCGTGATTAAGTCAGTTCTTAATTTAAACTGTAAAAATTCCCTATACAATCAACGAATTTATTTTCAAAAATTATATTCAGGATAATTAAAACGTGATATTATATCTTAATCACTTCCTACATAAATGAATAAGTTCTTTTATTAATTCATTCTTTAAAACTTTCGGATGTATACTTTGTTTATATTTTGATGAATGTTTCATGCCATCCCATTGTGTAGTTGTCATATTCTAACTTTGCTAAAACTCCTCATTGTTTATTCAAATATTACGGATTGGCTTTTGATATTGTTATAAAAGTATTCGTAAATGCTATTATTCGGCTCTTAATATAAATGAGGATACAAAGCCTAACACTGTCGATATACTTCAAAACCTATGTTACTGCTTCAGAAACAATTAGAAACATCTAGAAGAAAAAAGTTATAATGCATTAATCCATTTTTTTTCAGAACTTTCTATTATATTAACACCTAAATTTTCATGTCTTAAGTTTTTGCGCTCTCATCTTATCCTACTTTTTCTTAATACAGTTTGCTTATGAGCTAATCAAATGTGTTGCTCGAAGTAGTTGTTTTCAGAGAAAGAATTTAGTGGAACAATTTAAACAAGAAGAATCAGTTGCAATAAAAGACAATGACCATATATATCACGAAAAGGTACCCGCCAGAGGAAGTCTTGCTCCTGTCGAAATTGTTGATGTCATTAAAAAAACCCCACTCACGTTCCCTTTGTCCTCATCGACTACCAAAGATTACTTCGAAAATCTACTTCCTATCGCTGTTACAGAAGCTGTTAACACCGCTAAAGGTGTTCGTGCATCTCTTATCGACAGCGAAATTTGCACGCTACGAGGAGCATCCACTAAAGTGAATGAGTGAGTGCATTTTTTTACTTAACCCGTGTAATCACGGAAATAAAATAAAAAATTAATACCAAAACCAGACATCTGAAACCCAATTATGAGTGGCTTTTAAACTTCAAGCAATTTTGTGTATATGGTGACTGTCTCGATCTGGTCATCCCATATAAATATATATTCATTCAAGTTAACATTTCCAGTCAACAGATAAATAAAAACTTAGTGTAGAAGAAACTATAATATTAGAGAATCAGGCGCAAATAGAAACCATGCAAAATTGTTTCCAAATCAAGATTATGTTCAAAACTTCTAATTTAAAACATCGATGCAGGAGTTGTGGTTGGACCTGCTTGGTGTATGTTCCATTTGTCACAATCGATATTGATTAACAGTCCCATTAACTTTTTCTAGTACTCAACGCTTAAAACTATTATTATTTACCCGATGATCCTACAACACATGAGCAACATTTTGAAGATGTTGAGTGACCAAATGCTGGTAATCTATGTCCACAGCATTACGGAGAGGGTTGTTTCAAATTTTACCCTTTAATAATCAATTATCTATCTCTCGCGCTCTACTGGTAAAATAAACGCCTTATTTATCCTTGTCTTGATCACGTCAAACATCACAAACACAGAAGCGTAATATAAATGACTATCTCAGGATGTCGCTTGTTCTAATGATCAGTCAGTCAGCTACAACACAGAGTCAGGTACATATGCGCATCAGTCCAAGTTTCCACACCTCATTAGCACAAGATCAACGCCGAATTCATAAAAGTAGTTATTTTAATGGTAGTAATATATAAAAGAAAGATTGCATATTTGGATATAGTACAGGAAGAAAGGTCTAGTATGTAGAAAAAAAGATATGAAACGATTCTAATCTCACGGTTTAGGGGTAGACAAATAGTGTACACACCTACACCATTGTGATCGATTCTGAGCCATGTCACCAAGAGTCTCCAACCAATTGGCTACGATAGTCACGCGGACCCCAACCAAGTAGTCTGCATCTACCAACATGGCTAAGACTAAAAGTTAGTGACTTCACGAACCGATGTCAAGTTTTGGTTTGGCCGCCCCTAGCTTTCTTCCAACCGTCTCCAACAATAGTTAGTATTGCGCGTTGTGTTCTAATGGAATCTTTGGCGATTTCAAACTTCCTTATAACTGCTCATTGTTACACTTTAGTTGCGTATTTTTACATATGTCATTTTATCGATTTATGTGTAAACATCGTCATTATCTGCTACTGGTATTTTAGTGTACTTACTCGCTTACTTCTGTTACACCTTGTGAAGAAGCATAGAACACACACCAACGTTCTCCATTCAACTCTGTCCTGGGCAATCTTTTCCAGTTGTTATTCATCCTCTTGATGTCTGCTTCCAGTCCTCGGCGCAGTGTGTTTTCGGCCTTCCTCTTTTCCCTTACCCTCCAGGATTCCAAGTTAGGGATTTCCTCTTGATGCAGTTTGATTCCTGCAATGCATGTCCTACCGACATCCAGCGTCTTTTTCTAATTTCCTCCTCAGCTGGAAGCTGGTTTGTTCTCACTCTCAGTAGGCTCTTACTGATGGTATCTGGCCGACGGATTGATTTTTCAACGATAATCCGTAGTGTCGCGATTTGGTATGTGCGCGACCGGTCCTTACGAATTCCAGTTTGTTGATCTCGATGTTGGACGTCTACTGAGTCTTTCATCCGGTTTAGCAACACTGTTGAAAACCTTTCCTGGTACTGACAGTACTGTGATGTCTCTGTGGTTCTCACACTTGCTCAGATCTCCTTTCTTTGGTATTTTGGCGGTGTTCTTCTTTCTAATCTGTTCCTCCCCCCAAATCTTCCTGAAGATAACGTGGAGCCTGTTTGCAGTTATTTCTATGTGTGGCTTTAGTGCTTTAGCTGGTATATTGTCAGGTCCAGCTGCTTTTCCACTCTTGATTTGTCTGATGGCCATGTGTATTTCTTTGATTGTCAGTTTAGTGACATGTACAGGACAGTCTGTGTGTGTTGCTTCGATGTCCGGTGGATTCAATGAAGCTGGTGTATTTAAGAGTTCCTTGAATTGTTTCACTTATCTGTTCCTCTGTTCTTGAATCTCTGTGATCGTCTTGCTTTCTTTTTCCTTGACCGGTTTCTCTGGTTTTTTATATTTCCCTGTAGGTTTCTTCTTTATCATATAATTGTTTCATATTTTCTGCTTTTATAGCTTTTTCCAGTGTCTTCGCTGTCTTCCATGTGCTTCTGCTTGTCAGATGTATTGCTCCTCTTTACTTGCTTGTTTTCTTCTGTTTATTCATCTTGTACCTTCACTTTCTCTGTTCCTGTTCGACTGTTGTTAATTACCGTCTTCTTGTTCCTCCTTTCTTGAATCTTGTCTAGGGTTTCGATAGTGATACATTCGTTATGATGATGCTTCTTGTTGCCCAGAACCATTTTATCTTCTACGTTTGTATTATTCCAGCCTGTCCCACTGACATTCGTATTTGTCTACTATGCTTTTTACTTTCGTTAAACAATTCGTGTTGTGTTTCTCTGAATACTTAAATGTAGGCATTGTCTTTTAAGTGGAAAGTGGAATATTACTTTAAAGCCAGACTTCCTTTCATGTGAATTGTAAGAGTTTTGGTAATTGGTTTATAAATTGCAGTTACGCTTTTTCGGTTTCATCAATATTATAGTGTGTACTTCGACGATCTTACCGCGATTTTCCTATAGTTCTTGACAAAGAAAATCTTTTTGTTGCATCACTACGAAAGTGGCTTTTAGAAAAATTCTTTTTTCAGCCACCCCTTATTTTAGTTACGGTTTTTTTTCGTGAAAATGTTTTAATGTCTTCTATACCATTTTCTATGTAACAAGCTACTAATGGTGTTATTTTTCGATATTTTCAGAGTGTTAGCTTCATATAATTTCCCGGCAGCATTACTTGCTAAGGGATCAAACTCAATTACGGATAATATTTTATCCAAAGCTACTTCTATACGTCGAGATGGTGGGGCAGAAAAATTGTATCAGCAACTAATGTCGATACCTGAATGCGTTCAACGTAATAAAGAAATTATTGAGGCTGTAAGCTTTCAATACATTTGATCGAAATTGTAAAAACACTGAATTTATTTAGAGTTATAAATATTTATTTAAATTTATAATTCTGAAATTGAATCTGGGTTCGTATATTCTGTTTTTAGTCACACATTTATTTAAGCTTAAAATAATTATACTATCTGGCTGTCTGTTTTTCCTCTCACAAAAGTATGCTTTAATCACAATAGCTCGAACAATTGAGTTTTTATAATTATGTAACACACGTTTGAGTTGGTTTATTCAAGAGTACCTTTAGTCCGCGCATAATATGACATTTATCGTAATTTATTAACTTATACTCACTTATATAATTGTATGATTATTTCTTATAAAAAATGGTGATAAATTAGTAGTTTTGTAGTTAGAGCACCGTTATTTCAAAACTTTGGGCACAAAATTGAGTCCTGCTCCAATCCAATTTGTCAGCCAAGCAGTATCACTAACTTTCGCACCTAAGAAAAATTTGAAGACGAATACTTAAAACCTGTACGTGGTTACTGAGTTGTATTGAATTAATTTTAATTTCAATGAGTTGATTTTCTATCATCACTGTTTGAAAACCTAGACAATTGTGTCCCAGATTCATAATAACTTAAGAATGTATGTACTTAGTTGAGATGAACTTCTATTATTCCTAATTAGCGTAAATCTATTTCCTTGTTTTCTATACAAATTTATTTACTATCAAATCAATATTTTTCTATTTCAATTATTTAGGAGAAAAGTTCACTAGATGATGAAGAGAATTCTGATAATAGTTTACGAAAACAATATGGTGAACGTTGGTCACGGAAACCATCAAGTGAATTGAACAAATTATGGCGTTCTGATATACAAAAATGTTTGAATTTACTTGAACAAGTAAGCAATTCATTGTTCAGTAATCGGCTATTATTCTTTTGTAAAAAGAAACTAAAATATTAACATTTCTGAATAAAATAACCTTTTTAATAGAAAAGAAAAGAAGTCATGATGGTAATCACAAAAGTGGTACTGAAGGATAGTATCTATAAAATTTTACTAAATAAATGCGTTTTAGAGTTCATGTAAATGATATCTTTTTAAAATAATCTACATTAGACTTACCAGTCTCTTCTGTATTTGATTTAAAGCCAATTCGTTACATGATCTGACAGACTTCATTTATTAAATTGTGTTGCATGAACAGAGATACCGATCTATTCCATCATTTAGCCCATTACAACATGCTATCATCTAATTACTTACAAATTTTCCAGGACTGATGAGACCTCCAAGTCAAATGAAGTGGTCGTCACTCAACTACATTACTCCCTATCATTAAATCAGGGCTTGACGTCGATTAGTTCTAAAGCAACATTTTGAATTTAGAAAGAGAGTAACGCATCCAAAATGTGTTGGCATTGTTACTGAAAGTGATCAAAAGACTTTAGGTAACATCTTAGTCCGCCTAGCTGCTAAAGCTGAACTACCAGTTAATTCGTCAGGGCATACTGCTCTTCCTTGCTTTGGATCAGCTGTAGCTTCCTCAACATCACTAATAGTTGGGTTAACTTGTGCCGATTTCCCGTTCATATTATTTGAAGGTAGCGCATGACTGAAAGGTATCTGAAGTTAAGTTAAACTGTTCCCTAAAGCGTTCTGTCTATCAGTCTAATCGTATAAGCTAAGAGTAGACCATTGTATATATTTTTTAATACCTGCATTTTGATAAGCCTGAAAAGTCGCCTACCGCCACTACTTTTCTCATCTCTTTTGCTCCCGCTGCCCACCATTGCTCATGATCATTGAGTAAACGTTTTGTTAGTCTACGTTTGAGTTGTGCTTGCTCTTCATCGTTCCCCGAGCCTACCGAACTAAACATCACTCCTATGACTAAATACTTTTCTCTCTAGTTGTTTCTAAAATATACTCGACTGTTTCGTTATTAAGCTGGGCCCTAAAGGGACTTCTTACCTGGGCTTTTCGGCGTCCAGTAAACATCAGATAAACGCTCACTCTCAATGGAGGATGATCAGAGTCTAACTACACATAGTTTCCTATTGATCCTCCTCAATGATGGCTGCTGGCAATATGGCTTATTTGCGTCGATTTGTTGAGTCAATTTTAGGGGTCATTATGTTAGAGAATGCATCTCTTTATCCTTAAGGTTGGTGCTTGCTAAGTAGAAACGGTTGTTTAAGCATAGTGTCTACAGACGGTCGCTGTTATTTGTTCATTGAACTAAGATACTGTAAACCTATCTATATGTCTTTCACTTTAGTTTAGACTGCCGCATTAAGAGGTGAAATTTCCTACTATGATTACGACGTATGATAGTTTGTCTACAAAGTTCGTTCTTTACTTCATCCGAACTGCAATTAGTGGAAACGGAGGCACACAGTGTGTGTTGTACGACTCAAGCAACTGTGTTAAAATCCACTTTAGGAGCACATGATCCGCTTTTGCACCTAATACTTGTGTACTCCAGCGAAAATTATCAGTCAAGACCCCAGATACATGAAAAATAAATCGCTCTGGTTTTCTATATTGACCAGGTAAGGTCAAGTAAATGATCGCATTTAAATCCCTTGTGCTTGTTACGTAGACGTAGCGTGTATCGGTGAAATGAGACTCTGGAGTTCCTAGATAAGGAAACTTGTTGTCCATCTTTACATAAAGTTTGAACCGCGAAATCGCCGACATGTAGGTTAGACAGTTTTCAGGATACCAGGAATGACGTTTCGTGAAATTGAATCGTTCGCATTAACTTCGCCTAGGGTAATGAAACACATAGACGACGGATTGATGATGGGGACAGAAGGAATATTTAAAAGTGGTGAAGGAATTTGGTTGTGAACGAGTGGATCTAGAGTGCTGTTAGAGGTATGATGTCAGTTGTCACTTCCATGTTACCCGCACTGTCGAACAACAATTCTCTCCGACTTACTTGAAGATGAAGCTGAATTAGTGAGTGGCCATAGTGACCATGAAGCGTGACCACAGATTCAAAGGGAAAACTGCATGAGAAAAGTTGCGTACTCGGCCTGCTTTCAAGTAGTTGTAGATGAGTTACCTCTATATTTTAGAGGTCTTGTCTCCGAAAACGGAAATTGATGGGATAAAGTGTAGTGTTTTTTAGAGCCGATGTTTTCTAATCCATTCCTCCTGTTGTGAAAAGACAGCATCTCAAGGAAAGACCTAACTGCTGCCATACATATCAGTACAATCAGCGGTTAGATTTCGCCCTCATACTTTGAGTTACTGCCTTTAGTCCCACCGTTCACCAACCAACCTGCCTAGCAGTGTGGGATATAAGGGAATGAATATACTTAGCAATACAGGTCGATTAGGTTATTGCTATAGGTAAGCTCAACCACCACATCATGTCAAGAGCTACGATCGGATTCCATAAAGGACTGGCTTGTGTTGGTCCTTCACGACTCCCTGGCTGGGGTCCGAGAGATGGTGCTACACAGTGGCTAGAGACGTTATCAGATATGGCTCAGAATAGAAGCCAGTGGCGATCCTGCTGTAACCTTCTTTTACTTTCTTCATAAAAAGTGGTAGTGTCTTCCCTAACTGAAAGATTTCTTCTGATTGTACCTTTTCGTTCCGTCGTTACTACCACACTACCTTACTCCAATCTCTTCGTCATTGTTCTCTTTTTCTTTTGCGTTCCTTAGTTTTTTTTCTCTTTCTACTTCTCTTCGAATTCCCATTGTTTTGTGTGGCGCATATATATTGGCGCTCTCTTGTACCAATATTTATGTGTTCAAATAAAATAAAATAAAAATAATCGGATTCCACGAATAAAGCCTTTTTACCTCGATTCTTTGTTTGTTCTTTCTGAATCCTCGAACGTGCATAGATCTTTAGCATATACCCTTCAAGTATTAAATAATTTCTCATGATTTGTCTGCCTCGACTATTAGGTGTCGGACGTTTTGACTCCGATCAAGTTGAGGCATATTAAGCTGTACTCCGTGACAGAACTCCTAGAGCCAACTGAAATAGGATTGAACAAAAATTCTTTGTGTTGTTTGGCATCATATAGATCATTAATTCTTGCAGTCATTGGCTGGTGGTCCAAGCTCCAAAACGATCTATGTTAGAAATCAATGGTTTGGGTACCCTCAGATAATGGTGCTCGAATTCAATTGTAGTAGTTCGGAAACAATATTAGACTCTTTCAACCTTGGACATTTCATAGTTTTTTCAAATCATATCCCTCTCTGGGCTAAACAAACTATAAAGTATCTGGACTTTTACATAAGAGTGTACATCTTTATTTCTTTTTATAGATTAGATTTTAGATAAGTTTTTCCGACTTAACATTTGAATCACTGCATAATTCATTGTATCAAACACTGTACTACCTTGAAAATCTTATATTGTTGTATAATTTATAAAAATGAGATTTTTTTTATTTGTTTAAAATTTTTATTTCAAAACTCAAGTACGCTCTTTTGATTCTTTTATTTGATCTAGACTACGAAAACTGATGCATCTCTTTTAGAACGATATGAGAAGCATAAAGAACATTTTGAAATATTAAGTAAACCAGAAGCTGAACTTGAAACGCTTATTGGATCAGATGCAAAATTTGCCGAATCTAATACTGAAGCCAATAATGAAGAACTAAAATCTGAACTAACTCAATTATGCAACAAACTAGAATTAATTAAGACGGAAAGAAATGATCTAATAGAACAGTTGAAATTAGTTGATTATTCACCGGATCTAGGTAAGATTTCTCGATTCAATTTATTATGGTAATCTTTTATTTCTCAATTATATTTTGACAATTTTTTAAAGTGTAGAATTATGATGCGGCTACTGAGCTTACTAATTTAGGTCTCAAACTAGTAAATCGCCGTGTTCATTCGAATGGTCTAAGCTGTTTATTTATCTTGAGAGCCTATTTATCCCAGCTAAGTCGTCAATTAGCAAAATATCGCTTAATATTGACCACACTACGTGTAGTGAGCGAACTAGGAAATTATGTAGTTTTATTATAAAATGGCGATATGTAGTGTAAAGTTGAAATACAAATTCACGTCTTCAAAAATCTTTGCCACTTTCTTGCGTATCCAGTATCGTTTCTAAGATCTTTACAGTTATGTGACGCTAATCGAATGCACCTGCTAGATTAACCAATCAGAATCCCGATTCTAACTTTCTATCTTGCTCCTACTATTTTGTCTGTAGTCTAATGTCCTAGACTTGACCAATTTTACTTTCTGACCTTGAGGCAACGTAAGTTACACTCCTATTAATCTATTTATCCACAAGCCTTTCCCTATCAGCCTTGAGTCTGGAGATAAGTCGGTTGCTAAGCTTATTTTATTATTGTTTCAATCACCCAGCCTATCCAGTCAGTACAGTACAGCCAAGGGCTATCTCAAACACTCACTAACTTATATACATGAATTATCAGATCCCACACCAAATAGGAAATCATACTTTAAATACAATCGTGCCACCAGTGGTAAAGAGTGAAACAAACAGGTTTACTGGAAGCCTCAAGTGAGGGAAATATTGAAACACAATTATGCAGTTACCTATTAGCCATACAATAAAAGTAAATAATTCAAAATTTTCCAATTTTCCTAAAACTTTTTCAATTTATAATGAAGGCTTATATCATTGGCTCAAGTTTGAAGCGATATTTATCCTTGATGGAATTAAGGACAGCTGTTTGAACAGGAAGAAATTCCATTAATTCGTTTCACTTAGATAATTTTTGGTTTGTGTAGTTGAAGATAACTAGCGTTAGACGAACTTTGTTCACATAGTTCGCGTTTAATTTCAGTATTTCGAGAAAATTAGCATTTCGTCATTAAAACGCTGTCGATCAATGAATTTTGTTAATTTACTGGGTTTAGAAAATATAAATTATAAAATATAAACATATAGCATTAGCCTTGTTCTGCAATGAAACCGAATAACACTAGGTCGGGTTTTTTCTGTTCCTCATCTTTTTTGGCATTAATTGAAAGCAAATATTTGCTTTCATTACAGTTAGCTAGAATAATCATTATTTTGCGTTTTGTTTACTTAAAATGAACACATTTTCTTTTAGTCGCTGGACTATATACACATTTGTGCGTATGTGTTTGCATGTGTATGCAATTTCATTATATTATTTTAGTAGTCAGGAGAATATTTTTCTTCAACTTAGTTTCTCTTAGTCACTCACATAAAACTTTCATCATAACTATCGATTAATTCAATCTAAAATAGTAGTTTGATAGTTCGAAGTTGTTTTTATTGTCACTGTTACTGGATGATAGACAGTTTCTGTTAACAGGGTTTTAATTCATTCTTTTAGGCCAGAAGCATTAGAAGAATTAAATAGTTTATTAGTCAATAAAAAAAGTTTAACGATTATCTGCTCATCAGATCAAATCAGAAAGTCGGAAATGAGTTGTCTACAAAACATGGGAACTTATTATTTAGTTTACCAAGTCATTTTTGCATATTGGCGTTGCACGCTTATTAGTGTTGTGAAGAAGGGCTTCTCGAGTCAGAACAAAAGCATTTCGTTTGTTAATTTTACGAATGAAATCTTGATCGATAGATGGGAAGCTACACACAAGACTGAGAAATTGACACAACCCAATGAATGATTTCCAACACAGAATTGTATTTATTACACGGGTGATGCACTGTTACTCATTGTAGATACTGACCCAATTCATATCTCAAGTGAAAATATTTGCGTATCCAAAAATTCGTTGCACGTGTTAAGTCTAATGCTAAAACCCATTATCCCACAGTATCACTTCCTGTTAGTGTGAATAACTTTCATGAATCAAGTCATTAATTTGGAATAGGTTTCTCTTGTATGGATACTTAATATACATTTGTATTTTCCGACAGTTAAAAAGCTATTGACGTACTATAGAGAACATAATGAAACAGTTGATTTACAAATTGCTACTGATATGCTTGATGAAAAAATGGTATCTGTGCGTGAACTTATTCAAGAAAATCTAAATAAACAAGAAAGTTTATTAAATGACTTACAAACAAAAGCTGATATGTTTTACGGTGGGTCCGATGGTAATTCAAAAGACAAAGGACTATTGACAATGCTTAATCTGGCTGCAGATGAGTATTCTGCACTTAAAGAAGCTGTTAGTGATGCCACGAAATTTTACGCTGAGCTTACTGAGATTTGTGTGAATACCCAGTGTAAGGTAAGTCGATGTGAAACAAATATCTTACAGTTTTATATTTCATATTTGTAATGATTAAGAGTTACTCTTTTGGGATCTTTAATCGGAATATATACAACTGATTCTGTACTTCATATAGTTTCATTGTAACCTTCAATAAATAAGTTATGGTGTTAAAGTAAATTATACATTATTTGGCTTTAACTTTATTTACTGACACCTTTTGTGCTATCATCTTCGAATTCTGATTTGTTATAGTGATGTTGTGTTTGTTATGTTTGGAAGTCGGAACTTATTGTTCGGTCATTATCATTTTAGTACAATTTACTTAAGAGTTTCATTCAACACGATCAGTTAAATGGTGTTGAATAATTGAATTTGTGTTTATTTAACTACTAAAGTTTATTTGATGTGATGTGATGTTAATTATGACAGCTACTTAAAAGCCTTAATTATCGTTTCCTAAATCTAGGTCCTAAGTATATCCGTAAGTTGGATTTAGATTCATATATCGTTAAGGTAAGGCTTAGATATTTAGCCTTTAGATATTTCAAAAGAGATTGATACAACCTCTTCTTCTACCATGCTCTTAATGTCTTATAATTTTTTTCTTCATAGCCATCTTAAATCTTCTACCCCCAACTGGTTTATTTCTGCTTCTACCATCTTCCTGATTACATTTAATCTCAATTTCAACATTTTATCTAATCATGCTGAGCCATCTTTCCCCAATGATAATTTTCCTATCTTTTGATGGATACTTAAGCCACTAACAATCAAACGATTATTAGTTTCCCTGTTTAAATTTTTTTAATACCTTTGTTTATTCTATCTCATTGTCACTATGTCTAACAGAAGTTTATTACCCTTATTATTGTAATTATTATCATCCTGAAAAAATAAGTATATATATTTGCAATTGTACAGCTTTGAAAATGGAAGCATTAGACAGCCGTTTCGTCCTAGTATGGGACTCCTCAACGGTGCGCATCCACGATCCCGCACACGGGATTCCAGTTCAGGACCTTTGGTCCTCTAGACAAGTCCCAGAATTCAGTGAATTTAGCTGTTAATTATCTACAGTTAGATATTCGTAGTATCAAACGATATGGATTTCTACAGAAAATTTCACTATACTAACTTGCTTTCTTATATTAACCTAAGTTTTATAGTTTTTTTGTTACTCTGCTTGTCAAGAGAAAACTATACAGATTTTAAATACTAGTGAAGTAAGTACTGATTCGTTTCTGAACTACACTTATATTACGTCAATGATAGATGTATTATTTCATGGTTTCGACAGCAATAAATCGGACGACATTCTAACAACAAAAATCATTGACTAAAAATTTAAACAAAATTTATTTCTGGTAACTAAGTAATGTATGATGATTGAGTTGCTGATATGTCTAACTGGTATTAAAAATGCAGTTACAATTTTAATTTAGATTTTGAACAACTGTGCTCATTTCTTACTGTTGTTTGTATATTTCTTTCATCATTTTCGCATTTGAAAGATTGAAGATTTCTGCGCTGCACGTACTACTGAGAAAAATGAATTAATGTCTGATATTACAACAAATATAAGCCGGGTTCGTGTTTCAGACCAACAAGTCTTTTCGAAACCATCTGGTAAGTTGGAAATTCTTTCTTTTGTCGCTGCCTGTTTGTTTGTTTCTATCTTGATTACGTTAACGTTTGAGTTCCGTTTTTTCTTGTATTTCTAAAAACCTTTTGGTGAATAAGTTAATCTATTTGAAATTCTTCAGTGTTCTTTTTCGTATTACTTTTTAGGATAACTGAAAACTAGTAATTAGAGCAAAATTAGTGAATCATAACTGACGTAAAAGCATATCACTAATGTGTGTCAAACCAAGTTCCTATACCATATCAGCGTAGTGAGTTGAAATTAACTAGATAACCGTCGTAAAATTTGAAATAATTATAGTATCTGTGATAAGTAACACTAAGCATAGAGAATAGGCTTCAGAAAGAAACAAAAAAATAAGACAATCAGATTTATTAAATTTCACTAAAACTCATTTAATTTACTTGCATGATTTTCAATCTACCTGTGTATCTTATCTACCTATTGACTTCTTATTAAAGCTTCATATAATTTAATGTAAAATCATTATGAACTGTAGGTAATTGATGAAAGATAAAACTAACGGAATCTTATACAATACTTGATCATTTTATTTGAAATTAGCTAACACTATTTTATTTTCTGTTGTTTTTATTCAGTCCCTACTCGACCTGAACCATCTTATGCTAACCGTGTCAACCCTGTTCCTCCCGCTCATCCTCAAGTTCCAATGCCAACACCAACAATTCCCATGATGAATAGTACCACATATCCGATGCCTCCACAAGCATGGAATCCTCAAGGCTGTATGTTATGATTTATCTCTCAATTTGTTTTAAGATTGTTTATTTTAGATTCTGCCATTTACCGTAAAAACTGATATCAGGCTGTTGCCATAGCTAATATTTTAAGATATATCTTACACATTAACCACTAAATATCATAAAGCTTAGTTCCTTCTGTCACAGTAGTGACCATAAATGAGATTCACACTTCCCTGAATTCTACCCCTCAAGATTAAAAGACTGATGAGTATATAGACCTTTGTTCCCTCTAATGTTATGGTAGACTGTGACTAGTTAATCATAGATTAGTTAGGTTTGGCCTTGAGAATTGGTTATTACATCTACATTCTTCTAGGAGGAGGTGGGTAGATGAATTTAAGTTATGCACGTAGTGTAAAATTTTCAAAGTGACTGGTCAAAAATCTATTTTAAGCTATTCTGGATAGATTTTTGTCTAATAGAACATTTGGAAATTTAATTACATAATGCTGTAATTATGTCCGTGTTCATTTCATTGTTTACTGATATTAGCTGTGAGTGAAATAGAAGTATAAACAGTTGAATACAGTGCATTGTGGTTTTTCTATTACTCAGTGTTTAATTAATGCCTGCAATTGTAGTTATCTGCTTAGTGAATAAATTCATGTATACATGATCCATTATTTAATTTTGTTTCTAGATCCTGTGATGCCTCAACCTTCACCATATGGTAAGCATTAAAAGTTTGATGTATATTGTTTTCAACAGAATGTGGAATGGAAGTTTTTTCTGTGGTATGTTGTTTAATGTGCTTTTTTGTTACTGAAAAAAAATCATATTTGTGTTTGACTAAAGTAAAAATAAGAAGTGTATCGGAATAAGATGAAATCATTGATTTTTTTGAATTCTTGTTAGCTACTTACAACCTAGAAACAATAGTAATCATCATTTATAACCACCTTTACATCATATTATTAAGGTTTAGTAGAATAATGACAATAATTATGAAAAAGTTTGTAAAGTGACCGAGCATTTATTTGTTACTGAATGTGAAGATTTTAGAAATGTTTCTAGTGAATGGAAATCGATGCTGCAGCGTTACGTAATAACAACTATAAAGTTGAATAGATTTACAGAATAAGATGAGTAAAGCTCAAAGGTTGATTCAAGAATGAATTTGTGATTAAGAATATGAAATGAGATACTATGCAATTGATTAATAAAAAATAGAACTTACTAGGATAATGAGAGATTGAAAACTGTGTCTATTTTTAAATGCATTCATTTGATTTCAACTTTTTAGTTGTGATTACTTCGATTAAGTCAATCATTCAGTTTTATTCTATTATCCTTTCTGTTCTTGCTTTAGTCAAATTTATTAATGGGTAAAATTGTATAAAATACTGGTATGTTTGTGTGTGCCTGTGTGTTGATGAATTTGTCATAATTTTTATTCATAGTTCTGTACAATATAAACGATTTAAATAAAATACAAGTTAGTTTTATGATGTAGGTGAAGATTAAAATAAAAGGATTGTTGATAGTTTTATATAATTTGTTATGGCAAGTGGATACAAAGAAACGTGTTGGGGAGATCCGAATTATTCCTCAAAAAAGTCCAGAAAGGTCCTGAAAACGTTGAGAAACATTTTATCTAACCAGCGCTAAGTAAAAGCCTCATAGAAACATCTAGAAAGCGAAGAATCAAGTGTCGCATTTCTGACTGGATATATACCTATTCAGTTACTTTATTTAGTGTGATTCTAGAATCTTCTAAGACCATCTGAATCACTATAAATACTCTAGATTTTCTATACATAGAGGTACTTTGGAGTAAAGCGTTCTTCTAACACTTCGCGCCTTTTCTCTCATGTTCAAGTTGCCGTGTAGATTTAGCCCGGTGTTATTAGAAGAGCTTAGAATACGGAATCAAGTGTTCAGTTAGACGACACCATAATTCCAGCATGGCTTAAAGTTTATCGTTTTCCCTATTTGAAATTTTGTTCCAAGATAGTGACTAAATCATTGATAATAACATCTTGTCCCTTTGATAACTGTGATACACTTTTTTTTACATAAATTATGAATATCTTATACTGTTTGTTTATACTAACATATTGCAAGATCATTGGTCATTCCTTTCAATACGTTGATCCAGGTGCATTGTATTATTAATCATTTAACAGGATAAATGCTATTATTTCTTACATCAGTAGAATAAATCTGATACATAACTTAGACCATGACAGACTATCAGCTTTGAAAATTAAACCAACATTAAATATACAGGTATTATAATTTCAGTAAACTTAATCAGTGTTTAGTAGATTCACCTCAGCGAAAATAACATGGTGTTCCTATCTTTTGAAAAAATTCCTTTTTTATTAATGGGTTTATTTGCGTTTCGTTTTATCACAGTACCAGCTATTCCGTGTTATTAAGAAAAAGCTGTTAACATACTTTATACCTTTCCCTTTTCTTGTTTATGCATTACTGATTGTTACTACTGATTTATTCATCCTACATTTTATGTATTCCTAGTTTTAAGTCATCACTATTATACTTAGTTATTTCATTTCACTAAATTTTCCTATTGAGACACTAAAAAATACGTTTAGAAAAGAAATATTTCTTTTCAATTAATTCTCCATCAAAGCTCTACACTAATTATATATGTTTTATAAGTGAGTAGAAAGTCGATGCCAGTTGGATTGTTGTGAGTCAGTTTAACAAAGTAATAACCAGTTAATTGCATAACGTTTGGAAAATTAAGATTAAAACTGTAGTGAACTTTCATAATCGGTTATCATTACTAATAACTACATAATTAAAATTGGATGTAAATTTATTTGCATTGTGTCACAGAATAATCTCTTAAAGCTAATTTGTATGAAACTACCTAGTTCGGCCTGTTGTGGGTTGAAATTATGAAATTACGACCGCGACCACTTTCTTCGTTCCAAGTCATGTTGACTAAATCTTTAGATTATGCCAATTAATGCATATTTGATAGCTTGAACTAAATATTATGGAAATCACTAGGATAACTGATTCTTGAGTTTCGTTAAATTCCATTTTTTTGTCATTGAAATAACTGTTAATTACACACCTACAAGTTCACTTCAAATGATTTCCAAACGTTTGTCAAATCGATTATTTATTGTTCAAGGTAGAATATAACTAATTAGGGTTGTCGTCTTAAGACCTCTATTCCAACACATAGGTTGTGATCAGTTGCAAATTAGATGGTTACCACAATCAATAATTAGTGTTCAAATTAATCGAGTGAAAAAGAGTGTATTTTCGTTTTCGGTTATTAAAAGCCAATTAGGAAAATAGTTTGTAGTCGAATGTCTTTTTGAACAGATAAGGAAAATTACTTTCTGCTTAATTTATATGATCGAGTACTGTAGCAATCTCAAACTTCATTGAATTCGTCTGGAGAAGAATTATTTGATTAATAATTTGAAACGTTCATTTTTTGAAATAGATTTTCATAGGTAAAATCTAGTGCATTCTTTTTCAATAGATTTCGAAACAACGATCATTGTGATAACGTTGAATATTTCTACACATTTAGACATAGTCTTCCATTTTGGTTGGAAGATAAATTTTTTTTTAATGTAAACACAAGGAACAATTAAAATCAATTGAGCTATGTGATAGGTTTTATTTATAGGTTTTTGTTATCATGTGGTTCAATCAAGTTGTTGCTTGAACTTTAATTTTTTGTCCTATTACATTTAGGAATGGCTCCTTATCCAGCAATGTATCCATTCTATGGCGCTTATCCTACAATGCCAATGCCTCCAAATGCAGCATTTTCTCCCCCTAACATGATGCTTCCTGCTCATTCAATGGGTGGTAATGGTGCTTTTCCTAGTGTTGGTGGAGGCAATACTGATGCACATGCTCCCCTTGCTGGTGGTGGTCTTCAGGGACAATATCTACCTGGACAACCTTCTGCACAGCCTTAAAAAGATTTCTCTATGAACATTTGATTTTTGTTATATTCTCGATATCTTTGTTTAAGAAATGTTTCTTATGTCTGTGTTTTTGTACTACACAAAACGTGTATTTATTATAAGTATCCCATTTATTGATTTATTTTTCGACAATCTTTAAAATAAAAAATGACTTTAATGATCTAAAATACTTTTATGTTTCTTTCTCATATTCGTCCTCTTCTATAAATAAAAAGCTAAAAAGTGACTTTCGACTGCTTGTATTTTTTGACTTTTTTATGAAGGTCATGATGAACAAGTGTTTTATGTAAGCAATAATCGATTTTTTTCACGAATAGACACATACACCTAATTTAGCATTATGATTGCGAATTCAATGTATATGCAAATTAAAAACAAAACTTTTGCTATTCAATCAGTAGTCCAATATTTTGGAACTGATATAGTCATTTCTCTGTGTGGAAATTCCAACTATAAGACTAAAATAAATTAGCTCTCTAAGCATGAAACGAAATCGATCCAGGCACTGATTATTTTTGAAGCCTAAATGACACTGAATGTACAAATATATATGTTTAGTTAATAAAATGTTGTTTTTTGATTCATTCTTTTATGCTATCAGTTTTACTTCACCTCACTTGCGTCCTCTACCACTAATGTAGGAAGATAAGTCGCCGACCATGATTCTCCAAACAACTCTGTCTTCTGCTCTCCTTTCCGATTTGCTATTCATCCTTTTGATATCTGCTTACAATTCCATGCAAAATATGTTCCTTCGTCTTCAACTTTTCCTTTCCCCTTCAGGATTACGAGTGAGCATTTGCCTCGTGATGCAGTTTGGTGATTTCTTCAATGTATATCTTACCGACCACCAGTGTCTTTTTCTAATTCCCGCTTCAGACCTGGTCGTGGCTACATGGACCACAATTCACCATTCGTCAGATTTTAGAACACAAGCGCGCTTATCAGCGTTCGAAAATGGTCATTTTCACTTAAAAGGAGCATTTGATTCGGTAGACCGAGAGGTTCTGTGGCAGTGTCTATCATTGAAAGTACATAAACTTAGTGAAGGCTCTTTACTCGAACACTACCAGTCGATTCATAGCTTATGGTGAACTGTCATCTGATTTCGCAACCTCAAGTGGTGTCCAGCAAAGCTTCAGTCCATAGAGTCACTAACGTTTGGCCTGAGCCATGTTGGTAGATACAGACTACTTGGTTGAGGTTCGCGCGTCTATCGTAACCAATGGTTGCAGACTGTGTGACATGGCTCAGAATCGGCCAAAGTGATGTAGGTGTATACACTCTTTGTCTTCCTTTAAACCGTGAGATTAAAATTATTTCCACAAACTAATTGTTTCTCCCTGTATCATATCCCTATATGAAATCTTTTTCACTACCATTGTAGCAACTATCTTTTGAATTTGGTACTCGTCTTGTTCTAATGTGGTGTGGCAACTTGGACCGATGCATATATGTGCCTGGTCCTACGTTGTAGCTGAATGATTGACTGAGAAATACTCAATATAATTATTGAAGTAAACTCTAGAGATTGAGATCGTTTGTTTCTTAAAACCGTCACAATCGAATTGAGGAAAATTAACTATAAAACTGAAATTATTATACAATAACTGATAGTACCGTGGTGAAAGAATTAAGATGAGTAAATAATTTTAAGAATTATATGATCAATGACATATGTTGGTTCCTTTGAATAGTATCCTCCTGACATATACATAACATTTATTCATCATGCTTAGATTCTTAATGAGTTTACTTTCATGTAAACCTTATTCAGAAATGGATTGGAATTTCGTTATAAAACTTATAAACTGCGTAAACAATACTGTGAATCAAAACAGCGTGCAGAAGGCTATGAATCAGATGCCATGGTGACTTTTGCATTTCGAATAACAGAAGAAAGTTGTTTTTTAATTTGTGAACAGTTTTCACGTACGTGTGTACTATACTCCAACAAGAACGTTATTACTGTCCCAGTTAAAGGACATCTAAATTTAGTTATTTTCCAACTGTTTATTTCCGAATTGATCACTTCGCCTACATAAATAATCTGATATGAATAATTTAGACAAATGAAAATCATATATATATTTAAGGTCATATAATTTTGATTATTTCTGTTCTCTTTATGTCGTTTTATGCGTCGCCTAGAAATAATCAATAATACACAAGTTTAGACATCATTTTCCTTCAGTCAAATGCACTTATCAAACCATGAAGAAGATGAATTCGTATGTATTATTTAGTGTTCACAAATAAGACAATGACTTTATAAATATTGTAGCAGATTGCAAATGTAACTACCAAAATAGTAACCAAGTTATTAAGTAATAACAACAACACATTACTGTATTTAGCGTTTGTTATAAAAATATATAGTGTTATTATTATTATTATTTTAACACATAGATATTGTTACAAGGAGGCACCAAATACATATGCGCCACACAAATCTCATTTGATATGTGTGAGGGCTGTGATACTGCCCGGGTGCCCAAACCGAAGCAGGTGGTTTTCTTAGAGCGCCACTCCCCGAGCCTTCGACCTGAAGGCCTGATCCACAAGGCAGTGGAGCATCGTAAGGAGATGCAGTCCCATGGTAGCCGGTGACCAACAATTGGTTCATACGCCGTTTGTTCCTTCAGGATACTGGAGCCCATGTGCATCATTGGTTTGGAATCTGGTTAAGGCGCCGGACACTCGCTTTTCGTCCTCCCATTTTCGTAAACAACACCCCCACCACGAGAAGGCAGTGAGTAGGACTTCCCTGGTAGAGGCTATATACGCGTGGCCATGTGAGAGGATTTCGAGAGGGAGAGGACTCTCCCCACTCTCGGCCGTACCAGGGCATTTGAGGGCTTTAAGTAATAACGTTTAGAATCAGTTAAGGATATAAATATGCAGGTGAAATTCAGCTGTCTCTTATTAGCTCGACTGATCGATCACCAGGGCCACAATTATAACGTGTAATTAGTAATTACAAAACGTAACAAATAATCTAAAGTTTTCTACTTTATCTTTAAATGTACATGCTAGTTATATTATTATTTAGTGTAGAAGTCAGTATGAAATTATATAATTGATCTGATAATATAGTATTTGGCCGAATGAGAACGAAGAGTAGTATGAGCACTTATGTATTTTGTGAATGGTAATCTATGGGCCATGCAATCGGTGTCGGAAAAGTTCAAGGTCAAAACTAAACAATTTTATCTAAATCACTGATTGAATAAACTGCAAAAAACATGAATAATGTTAAAAATAATTTACAATGTAAGTCTATGTTAATCATCACAATATCAATTTATGGGAGATTTCAGTTAAGGTCCACTTGTTTTAAACTATTCGGTATTTAAACAAAACTTTGACAAACATCGAGTTATTAATATAGGGAATCAAGGTGATTATAGTATTTCCACCTTCGAAATCACGAACTGATCTAAGCTAGACTACCATTCAAAATCTGGAAGCACTGGTCGGCGGTTTCGTCCTAGTATCAGACTCCGAATTAACGAGAATCTACGACCCCCGCCACGGAAATCGGACTCATAAAAAATAGCATAGTCTTCAAAATTCCTCTTGACTACTAACAATCATGTGCTCGCTAGTGACTAGCTTCAAGACATAAATTCTGGAGTTCTATTGAGAAGCCGTGACCAACTATAGTTCGGTATGACAAATTTGCCCACCGCAGGCAATGAATGATGGGTTGCGCAAGACTATTAATTGACCAATGTTAGACAATAATACCGTTGGTTGCCGGCCAAGTGATTTAGAAATTGAGTATTCTCTCATGAGACCGAAGGTCATGAGTTGGATTACCACTTCCAAGGTCGGGAATGTGCATTGCCGATGACAAAATGACCATCCAGAAGTACCAGGTTTCTAGTGATGATCTAACCAAGACCAATCCTTGATTTCAACGATGAAAATATGAAGTTGGTAAATAATGTTTACTCTCGGTCGTAAAGTCAATAAATATTTAAGTCTAGGTGACTTCAAAAGTGGCGTACCCAAAGACACCATCTTAGGTCTCCTACTTCTTCTATACGTCAATGAATTACCGTCATTGTTTAAGTCGTCAACATTATTTTTTGTGGAGGATGTCAAAAACCGGAGAACAATAGACTGCGAAGCTGGTCATTTTGATCTCCAAGCTGACCCTTACGAGTTAGTTAGACGGTTCAAAGTTAGGAGGTTGGAAATTAATTCTAGAAAAATTGTGCTCATGCGTATTAGACACAGTGACAGTTACTATCGACGGTACATCCTTTCCATGCGTGCAGGAACATATAGACTTGGAGGCTACAGTGAATCACGACTTGAGAACAATAACGCATTGCATTGCAGCTGGTGCCAAAGGTTTTCGTGCGTTATAGTTACTTCACCGAGTATACAAATGCTTTGACGAGGAGGGGTTTCAAGTTTTTTATACCATCTACGTAAGACCACATTTAGATTACTTTATCCAAGCAGCTGGTCCAGGTCTTGTTGAAGATATTTACTCGCTTGAGTGTGTTCAGTTTTAGGAACAGAATTAGTGAAGTGTCTTTCTAAACTCCCTTACAGTGAGCGCTTAAAACACCTAAACGTTTTCCCCTTATCGTATCGTAGAACGCGAGGTGACCTCATATTGGCATTGCGTATCTTTAGTTATTATTTAGGTGTTAATACGTTTCATCTTTCTGCTCTGACCAGCAATAATATTCTTCGAGACCATAGCAAGAAGATTCATAAACCACGATCTAATAAACTCAGAGTAGGATTCTATATTTCTCATCGAGTGGTCAGTGACTGGAACGCTTTACCCAAACAAGTGGTATCAGTTCCATCAATATACATTTCCAAGGAGTAGATGGACCTTCACTTGAAAACAAACTGTAACACAGGTCCACCAACATACTATACTTATTACTAAAAACTGAAGATATAAGAGATACAAAAATGCATCTTGAAAATAAACTCACTGAGATGAATTACGTTTGTTTATTATTCTATGAAAATATTTGTAGACATTCACAAAATATTATGTAGAGCTGAGGATTTTGGTTTTTATTTATTAGGAAACTGAAATAAACAAACAACACCATATTTAGCAACTCAGCTCGTTTAGTAAAATGGTCATACTAATCAATAAATATATAATAAAAGTTTAAAGCACGAAAATCGATACTATGCATGTAAATTATTAATTCATTTAACAGGACATTGATGTTTCCAATTCGCAACTATTAATTCAACGTTTTTAAACTGCGGTATCTGTTTTTCTCTGATTATATATATATATATATATTGCATTGATCATATTTCACTGTAATATTTTTAATTACTAGTCGAATGACTCATGCAACGTTCTATCAAAAAGGGTAGTAACACAGTAAGAAATACAATCACATACTTGCAAACACGTGATTATCAATTAAATCAATCATTCTCTCTTAGATCTGTTAAAAACAAGTCACTCAGTAAATCATTATACTTACCATTACAACTAAATCATAGCGATTTACAAATACAAGTGTTTTATTGTAAAAACTATTGAAATTGAAAATGGTTGATTAATTAATGATCGATTGATT